TTAAGCTAAGAGTTTTCACAATATATTCAACTTGTCTCCCAACCATATTTAATAAGTATGCATCAATAACAGATAGAAAAGTTTCTTCTGTGGAAAAACCTTTCTTAGCACTCTTTAGGGCTTGATTTCTCAAGCTATAGATCACTGGATTGAGTGTTGGGGACATAATGTGAACCCCTGTCTCCTTCAATACACATCAGCTGCATACATTAGCCATACACCTGCCTCACAGTTGACATGTTTTCATGGACCATTGTATACAAGTCTCATTGAGAAACTCATAATTTGGGCAGTTCTTCCAGAACTATCTGGTGATTATACTTGAGTTCAGTCTTCAGCCTTGATTCTTTCATAAATTCACTTATTTTTGCTTGTCTCAATTTAATGAAGTTAATACCTTTTCCAATGTATTTTGAACTTCAGTCACAATACATAATTTACTTATGTGTCAACAAGAGAGATCAATATTTCTTCTTTGGAAAACTGTTCTTAAAGCAACTTTTATGGCTTTATTTCTCAGGCTATAGATCATTGGGTTGAGTGTTGGGGGCACAACCGTGTACATAATAGTGAGAAAAATATCCAGTGTACTGGGTGAGTCAGAAGGGGGCTTGAGAAACTCAAATGCACTGGTTGAAATAAATAAAATGACAACAGCGAGGTGGGGAAGGCAAGTGGAGAAGGCCTTAGCTCTGCTCTCAGCAGATGGCATCCTCAGCACAGTAGAGAATATCTGTGCATAGGACAGTACAATGAAGATGATGCAAAGAAAAGACATAAAAGACAAGAAGGCAATTATTCCAATTTCACTGACATACTCCTTAGAACAAGAAAGTTTCAGGAGCTGGGGGATGTCACAGAAAAATTGGTGAATCTGGGAACCACAGAAGTGCATGGAGAAAGTGGCCGCTGTTTGCATAACTCCAGAAATGAGCCCACTGATCCAGACACCTAAGACTCCATGGGCACATTTGTTGACATCCATGATGATTTCGTAGCGCAATGGAAGGCAGATGGCCATGTAGCGGTCATAAGACATCACCGTGAGCATAGATACCTCAGCAGATGCACAGAGAGTGAAAGCAAAACACTGCACTATGCATTCCCCAAAGGAAATGTAGCCGCCATGCATGAAAGAATTACATAGAGCACGTGGCACCGTCACGGAAATGTAGCACAGGTCCAGGAAGGAGAGATGTTTCAGGAAGAAATACATGGGTGAGTGCAGACTACTGTCCATGGAAGTCGCGGTGATAATGAGGATGTTGCCAGTTAATGCCACCATGTATAACACTAAGAACAGAGAAGCAAGTAGGATTTCCTGCTCTGGCTTGGCAGAAAATCCCATCAGCATAAACCCACTCACAGTGAAATTAGCCATAATCTTCAATTTCCCAGTAATGGTGGCTGTAAAAAAAGACAGAATCACTGGAAAGAAAATTTCTATGAATTAAACTAATAATCTACCTTGGACTCAACTTGAGTAAAAAGCCAATTTAAGAAATCATGAGTTCCTTACAAATATGAAATAGTGTATACACTGTAAATACATCAAGCAATTTTAAAATACTTTTACTGTTATGGAAACGCAGGTAAACAAAGTTCTATATTTTAATATTGCCCTTCATCAATGAAAAGGAAAATAAAATTATATAACAAAATTAACAGTATATGTGTATATGTAAAATACATAATTTTATTAATGGAGCTATGTTGCATTCAATGTTGACTTATATTAAAGTTTTATATTGTCCACATACTAGCATTTATACTTAGCACTAATTCTTTTTCATGAATGATTCTACATATTCATATCATTCCATTTATGAAAGATTTCAACTGCAAGTTAGTACTTTTATGTATGAAAGAAAATTCCATTTTTCTCCCATGTATTTTCCATTAAGTGAAATTTTAAAACACAAAATTAACACCAGCTATGCAATAAGTGTGACATAAATAGCCATTATCACTAACACAAAACATCATGAGGATTCACGTCAAAACTGTCAATTTCTCAAAGATAATGGAAAATAACAAAGTCTTTCCAGTGTATTTTTATGAGAAAATAACATAACTAACATACACATTTAAAAAATAATTTATCTTAATAAATAAAACATTGAATAACTATGCATCATAGATTTTGAATCCAACTAATTGTTAAGATGGAAAAGTAAAATACTCAGTACTATTTGTTAAAAAGAAAGATATCTAGAAGTAGCATACATCTGAAGATATGTGATTATACCCTAAAATCACAACATGGTAAACTAACATTTTGCCAATAAAATTACTATTCATAATTTTTAATATAATGCTATTTCATATAAAGAAAGAAAGATCTTAAAACATTCAAGTAGTGTGCTCAAATGTGTGCATTCTCTGTGAAAAAGAGCAAATTATTTTATAAATATTTTGAAACTGTTAAATCACATAGCTATATCCAGGTGCCATTATAAATAAATCATCTGAATGAATAGTATTTACCAAACTAATATATTCATTAAAAATTAATGCTGCAGCAAAGAATATCGACAAATCCTAAGAATGCAACTGCATAATTATTTTCAATATTTTCAAAATTATCTGTATCAAATATTTTTTAATCAGTCTGATCACTGTTTGGATTACATATAAGTGAGATATATTCTATATATTTCGTGACCTGAAAATACATAAATACACAGGAGTGGAATGAGCAGAGAATAAAAGGTATAAGGAAATAAAAGAGGTAACAGCAGTTACTACTTCTGAATGGTGAGAAAATGATTGTTGTTATTACTGTTTTATAGACTTGTTGACTTGATTCATTGAGAGACACACAGGAAAGTGAACCTCTTTTTCATATCTTCAGTATAAAATCCACAGATGTTCCTATACTTTATTAAAAGCTGAGGCTGATGGACGCTTCCAGCATCTGTAGTGTACTATGGAATCTCATTGTGATTTAAAGTCTGTGAGTGATAGAAAAGACTTGCAACTGATGAGGTTGACCCTTACATACATCAAGCAAAACTTATTTAAAAATTGGCTCAATCTTATTATGTGTGTGGATGAGTGGGGTGGGGGAGGTTGTGTATCAGGGTTTGTGTGTTATATGTGCTGTATGACTTTGTGTGTTTATTCACAGAAATACTAAAATACTGCTAAATTAAACCAAGTAATGTAATATTTAGACGATACTGAAAAGAGACTTAAGAGATGATACCTGGCAATTCTAGACATAATAATGACACCTTTGCTCATCCAGACATTACCTCTTGCAACTGAAAGTAAATCACTGAGGTTTCTGGAGGCTCCAAGAAATTGTATTTCAATATATTTTGGAGAACATTGCTTATTTTTCTTTGTGGGATCCAAAAGAAATGGAATTTTTCATCGGCATGAAAATATTGCTTGATAAACCCAGAAGTATTTTGTTTGGTCTTACCATTAGTTTACATCTGCTCTTGTTAATAATTTGTACAGTAGTTATATAATGAAATTAAATGCAAACTTTGTTCTCATCTCCGAAATTTTATGTATCTCTTCTGCCTCTTGAAAACAACTACATGACTATTTTTAACATTACATACAGGTAAATATATACATTTGTATACAATTTATATATCACACAATTTATATATCACACAATTGTCTATGTATCTGTGGATGTATAAAAAGAACTTTGTCACATTATGGTTTAAAAATACCTAACTGGTAGATAATATATTGTCCCCATAACTGCCTATGATAACAAGTGAAGAGACCAGAAAAAAAATTTTTCAAAAGACTTTCTCTGGTTTTTCAAAATTACTTTCAGATACTCTGCCCTTATGACCTATTACTTTAAGTATGATCTTCAATGAAATTTCAACTTTCAGTGCAGACCCAGAATTTTATATCATTTGTTCTACTCTTTCATTGGCTCTAGCTTATTCTGTTTTATATCAAAGGGAACATTCATAATCTAACATCTCTATCCATTTTTGGTAAACTTTCATGTTTTGAAAAATTAATGTTTAAATATTAGGTAGATATATTTTCAAAACAAAACAAAGGCCTTGATCACTGTATCACAGTTAATATTTTAATGAATTTTACCAGTTATTTTTCTTGCAAGTCCTCTTCTCTATATTTCTAGAAAATTGACCATTAAAATGTCCAATTCAGAATTTTCCTAAATTTTTTCTACCACAGAATTCAAATAAATAAGTAGGGTGATGGGCTGGTTATGACAAGAAGTATGTTTGTTACGACCTTTTCCCACTCTGTTGTTTTTTTACTTCTTTTTTTAGCCTCATTTTGTGAAGATGAAGTTTGCAGCTGTAGTGCTCTTATTCAAATATTGCACTCATCATCAGTCTTTACATGTTACGAATGTACTTGAACAATTTACCTGTGTATCTGATGTAGAGAGAACCTCAGTCTCACTTGTCACTATCATAAGACTCAATGAATAAAGTGAATGCAAGGAATATCCTGAGTCATCCCAGCACATGTTCACGCCGAATTACTTTCACATGGTTAGAATACAAAAGGCATTATTAGGGAGGGGGGGAACTCCACTCCACAAAATATGCCTGGAAAAGAAGGTGTTTACAGTGTTCTCTCCAGACACTTAATTTCTGTTTAAATAGTCATCGCTCGTGTTTAGGATTTCATATTTTACATATTGAATAGCAGTAGCTGCTCTCGCCCATTCAAAACCATTCATGTATGGATTTTTAACTCTTCTGTACAATCTATGATTTTTAGAATCTAAGAACACTCACCAGACCATATCCAAGAACCTCTTTCCTCAACAGAAAGAGAAGCTGTCAATGTGAGCAGCTGACACGTAACTCAAATCCTCACCTTTGAATTCATTCATGTTCAGAAAAATATGAATGGGGAATTAAAAATAAGTCTATGTCAACCTTTCTTCAGCCCCTGGAGGCTAGATTATGCAATCTCACTGGCACAAGCAGTGTGTCTTGTTGCTGTGGGTATTTGGTGTTCTCAGTAAATATCCTGGGACCAAATCTTGCAATTACATTCACTGTTTCTGCAGCATATTTTCTCATTAAGTTAATATAATGATTTCACCCAGTTACTTGGAATTTGAATGGATAAAAATGTTTTCAAAATTAATCAAAAACTGAAGGTGATACCTGATACCCTAAAACATAGCAAAAAAAAAAAAAGTTAGACCATAATAATTCACAGATACGTTCCTCACTGTTAACTCAAATCAATAAAACATGTGAAGAAAACAGAGGCAGTAAGGTCATTGAGATCAGCCTTAGAGGTAGCTCTGGGTACTGGATTTCAACATAAAGGGAAACAAGACCAAAAATAAACAACTGGGACTATGCCAAACTAAAGAGCTTCTGCCTAGTGAAAGGAGTCATCATTAGAAGAAAAAGTCAACCCACTGAATGGTACCGGGTATTTGCAAACTGTATATCAGATAAGGTATTAATATACAAAAAAGAATAATCAATGCGACATGAAAGAAGAATGCCATTAAAAATGGCCAGAGGATCTGGAGCTTCCCTATGACCCAGCAATCCCACTCCTGGGTATCCACCCAAAAGACACAAAAAAACTGATTCAGAAAGACACTGGCACCCCCATGTTTATTGCTGCTTTATTCACAATTGGAAATACATGGAATCAACCCAAATGCCCAAAAGTAGATGACTAGATGGAAAAGATGTGGTACATATACACAATGGAATATTACTCAGCAACCAAAAAAGGTAACACTCATGCCTTTTGCAGCAACTTGGATGGAGCTGGAAGGGATCATGCTTAGTGAGATAAGCCAGAAAGAAAAGGAAAAATACCAGATGGTTTCACTCATAGCAGGAGTAGAAAGGACCAGGGGAGAAAATAATATAATAATGAACAACTATATACCACAGACATTTTATGGGGGTGGAATGGGGAATGGGGTCAAAATCGGTGGGAGAAGGGAAGTGCACTGGACTATGGTGATGGCACACGGGTGACTTGGTGATGGAAAGTGCACGGGGATTACAACTGAGATGGGAAAAGGCACGAAATGATGTAAAAATAAACATTATTTTAAAAAATGGTCAGAGAATCTACATAGGTTCTTCTCCATGAAATAAATGGCCAACAGTCTCAGGAAAAGATGCTCAGCTTCTCGCTTATTGTGGGGAATGCACATCAAAAATGTAATCACTTCTCATCTCACGCTTGTAGGAATGGCTATCAGCCAGAAGAAAAATAAAAACTGCTGGAGAATGAAGAAGAAAAGAAAATTCTTGTATACTGGCAAATCTTTGTACACTGATGCAACTGAAATGGAAAACAAGATGCAAATTCTCAAAAAGTCTTAAAAAGATTTACTGTACAACCCAGTAATTCCACTCTCAATTTTCTTTTTTAAAATATTTATTTATTTATTCATACAAGAACTAGGGTGCAGGCTTGATGTGCAGGGGGGTGAGTGACCCACCAGAGAGAGTGGGGAGCAGAACAGGCAGATCTACTGAAATGCAGTGGAGCCTTGGGCAGGTGCCACGTGGGTCACCCCCTGGCGGGGAATAGAACTCGTGGTGCAGTAGTTTCCGACAGCGTCATCGTGCTACGCTCTAGCCCGCTGCAGGGTCAGGGGGGGCCCTCCACTCTGAGAGTAGGAACCCCCTGATTTGAAAAGATACATGTATCTCTGTGTTCAGAACGGCACAATTACAGCTAAGAGATAGAAACAACGTAAGTGCCTATCACTAAGGGATGACTAAAGGAGCTGTGGTCACATACACAACGGAGCATGACTCAGTTATTAAAAATGGAAGTCCTTTTATTAAGTGTTTCAGTAGGATATACTACTTATGAAATATTTTTTTATATATTGACGATTTTTTTTGTTTCACATATCAGAAGAATTTTATCTCTATAAATTTGTGGCAAATAACTTTTTTTTCATATTTTCTATAAAAATATGTCACTGCCTTCAAAGCATGGAAAAATACAGCAAGTAGGGACCTTGGGAACTTTTAATATGTCAATATCAGGCCTTCTTCTTTTATCATTTATGATTCAATCACTTTAATGTTTATGATTCTATTTCATGATGTTAAAACACTGTTTCAGATTAGTTTGTGAATATGGACAGTATAATGTTCAGTTCACTAATTCTGCCTTTCTTTGTTTTACATGTTGATTAATCCATCCATTGATATTTAAACTTTGATCATATTATACTCATATATGTATTTTCTCTTATCTTTCAATTTATTTATTCTTTTTAGTAGCATACAACACTTTAAGTAGTATTTCTACTAATTCTTTGAATTATTTAGCATTTAGAAATGTGTGTTTCTGAGACACTCACAGATTTAGTATTACTTAAACATTCCACCCAAGTGAGTTGCAATTAATCCATTGCTTTTAAAGAGGGAAAGTTGTCATCTGCTTTAATTTTCTGGAAGTTCCCTTTTTTCATGCCTGACTTTGTGCAGAGAGATTTTAATCCATTGTGTTTGCAAAAATCTACAGCTAGATGAGTATTTGTATTAGAGATTTAGTGACAACTTTCCCATATATGTTCTTTCCCTATACATATTTCTCTAGTTAGCTTTAAATTCTTGGTTGACTATGTTAAGTTTGCTTAACCAAAGATAACAGGTAAATGGTCCCAGTTAAAGTACACAAGTCTAGAGTTAAAATGCAGCTAGTCTGGTCTGAAAAAAATCAAGCAAGAAGGAACTAAGGTGATGCTGCACTGTGAATTGGTGGTGGGAATTTCACAGGGAAATCATACAATGTACAAAATGATGATGATGTAATAAATATATTTAAAAATAGAAATCACGCAATAAAAACTGCTCTGTGGAAAACGCATTTCAGAAGTGCTGTTACTGGGGAAATCAATAAATACAAAGAGAGTCAGACTTCAAGGTAAATATCAGGTCTGAAACTCCCACTCTACATAATAAATTTGAGCCATAGTCTGTGTTTTCCTAAAGCATAGACAGCATAAGACAGTGGCATCAAAGGAGACACCTACATGGATCCTTGACATGTGTCCCTTGCAAATTATATGTAATCCTCTTTGAGAGCTATAAGTTCAGGCAACTTTTCCAGAACTGTCTGGATGTTACTCCCAAGCTTAAATCCTCAGTCTTCATTATTTCAAAAACTAACATAATTTTTGCTTGTCTCATTTTGTTTAGGATAATAGATTCCCCAATATATTTTGAACTTGATTCCTAAAGAAGACTTAATAGGGGAACCTCAACAGAAGAGATCATCTTTTCTTTTTTGGAAGACCCTTCTTAAAGCAACTTTTATGGCTTTATTTCTCAAGCTATAGATCATTGGGTTGAGTGTTGGGGGCACAACTGTGTACATAATAGTGAGCAAAATGTCCAGTGCACTGGGAGAGTCAGAAGTTGGCTTGAAAAATTCAAAGACACTGGTTGAAATAAACAATATGACCACACCAAGGTGGGGAAGGCAAGTGGAAAAAGCCTTAGCTCTGCCCTCAGCAGACGGCATCCTCAGGACGGTAGAGAAAATCTGTGTGTAGGACAGTCCAATGAAGACAATGCAAAGAAGTGCCATTAGGGACAAAAAGGCACTGACCCCAATCTCATTGATATACTCCTTAGAACAAGAGAGTTTCAGCAGCTGGGGGATGTCACAGAAGAACTGGTGAATGACATGGGAGCCACAGAAGTGCATGGAGAAAGTGGCCGCTGTGTGCATGGTTCCAGTTATGACTCCACTAATACAGACGCCTAAGACTCCGTGAACACAGGTGCTGGCATCCATGATGATTTCGTAGCGCAGTGGAAGGCAGATGGCCACGTAGCGGTCATAAGACATCACGGTGAGCATGAACAGCTCTGCAGAAGCACAGAGAGTGAAAGCAAAGCACTGCACTATGCATTCCCCAAGGGAAATGTAGCCATTTTGCATGAAAGAGTTGTAGATGGACCTTGGCACAGTCACAGAAATGTAGCACAGGTCCAGGAAGGAGAGATGTTTCAGGAAGAAATACATGGGTGAGTGCAGACTACTGTCCATGGAAGTCACGGTGATAATAAGGAGATTTCCAGTTAAGGCCACCATATATAAGACTAAGAATAGACAAGTATGGAAGAGTTCTAGCTCAGGCTTGGTAGAAAATCCCATCAGAAGAAACCCACTGGTAGTGAAATTACCCATAGTCCTTCTTAACTTTTAAATGATGTTGACTGTAAGACAAGATGGGAATGTTTGGAAATTTCTATTATCTAGCCACCTAACTCACCTTAAGCACCATGAAGTGAAACAAGAAATCAATTGAAGAAATCACCACTTCATCATAAATACAAAATAGTTATATAGATTAAAAATCATGTGGAACTGGGCCCTCCCTGGTGGTGCAGCGGGCTAAAGCGCAGCACTAAGAAGCTGAAACCACTTCCGTATAAGTTCGATCCCCGCCTGCCCCGGAGGTGACCACAGGGCGCGGCAGACCTCTCCTGACCCCGCCCGCTGCTCCCCTCAGCAGTGTGCTTCGTAGATCTACCTGTTCTGCTCCCCGCTCTGTCTCTGGTGAAGCCTTTCGCTGCCCCTAAGCTTCTGGCCTGTACCCCAGTTCTTTATGCACAAATAAATAAATCTTTAAAAAAAAACATGTGGAACAGTTTTCAATGACTTTGATTCAGTCACAGAAACATGGGTAGATTCTAAATTTTAATATTGTCCATCAATCAAAGGAAAATAAATGTATATGTATGTAATAAAATGGATTAGATATTTTTAAATATGTAATTTTAATAATGGATCTATAGAATTGAAGATTGAGTTGCATTAAAAATTTTGTATTGTTTATATACTCACACTTACTGGTTTATTTTTTAGCTACCTATTCATTTTTGGTCAATCTGTTTTCACATGTTACTGCAACTACAATGGTTTTCATATTTTATAATTTTGTCTTCCATATTAGAGGAAAAACTCTTCATGGTTTTTCTTCTAGCCAAACAATTATTTTCTCTGGGAATAAAATTATGAATTACAAAATTGTTAGTACCTGTGAAAACATTATGATATATAAATAATAATTATCTTTAAAATAAAATAGCATAAAAATTGATCTGTTTTTTAATTAAAAATATAATAAATATACACTTGAAAAAGTCATTTACTATAATTCTTAAGGTATCAAACACTATGATATAATTTTGGTCCCCAATACATTAGTTTAAATGCAATAATAAATACTGTTAACACCAGTTGTAACATACATCTAAACAGTTTGAATGTAGAACCCAAAATTACAATGTTGTAAAACATTGTTAGTTCAATAAAATTCATATTATTAAAAAAAGAATAAGATGCTTATTTTATGAAAACAAATAAGTTAAGCCTAATACAATTCAACAGTATAGTCAAATTTATGCATGCTTCCTGGAATAGTGCCAATTATTTACCAAAACCCTTAAAACAGTCTGCATCTTAAACCAGGTAATTTTATATCTCAATAATATTTTCAAAATAAGAACACGAATAATTAATATTCTAAAAACCGTATTTGTTTCTTATTAGTGCATCTGTACAATAGCCAAGTGCCCACAAACAGATGTGTGGATCAAGATGTAGTGTACACATACATACATATATATAATGGAATATCACTCACCAATCAAAAATCAAAACTTATATGGTGACATAAATGGAACTGGAAGGATTGTGCTAAATAAAATAAGTCAGAAGTTAAAAGATAACCAGATGGTTTCACTTCTATATGAAATATAAAGGAACAAAGCAAAGAGTCAAAGATAAACGTGAAAACTGACCAGTGATATTAGGGTTGTACCTGGGGATAGAGGGGGAGACAGGAAGGGGTGAAACATGGTGGTGGAAGAACACAGTGAACTATGGTGGAGAACTGTGGGTGATTTGGTGGAGGGAGGGCCATGGTGGCTGTACCTGGTTGGGGAGGATATCCTATACCCCCCAAACACTAGCAAAAATGGAAATTAATACTAATTTGATAACAATTTAAAAATAAAGCCAATCAATGATTAATTGATTATTTCAGTTAAACCAGCACTTGAAAGCTGACCGTAGGTCTGAAGCATCCAGAAAAGGGGAAGAAGGAGAGTACAATGAACCATACGTAGTAGAGGACTTTGGGTGACTTCGTGGGACAGCTGCAGTGGCCACAGCTGGAGGAGAATCCTATCTTCTCAAACATTAACAAGGATGAAAAACAATGGTACTTATTAAACACATGTGCAGTGCCTGTGTGTGTGTGTGTTTACTTATATATATATGTGTGTGTGTGTCTTCCAATAAATGTATTTAATACTGCAGCAGCAAAAATAGTGGCAAATCTTAACTGTAACTGAAAAATTACTTTCATAATATTACTTTAGGTTGTCTTGAAAAGTATATTTATGAAGTATTTTTTTGAAAATAGAAACTAACAGCTATTTGGATGACACAGAAGTAAGATCTCTATATTTCATATTCTCAAGATATGTAAAGACACAGAAATTGAAAATGCAAAGAGTAAAAACTATAGGGGAATAAAATACATAATAGCAATTATTATTTTTGCATGATGAAGGTATGTTTGTGCTTATTCCTGGTTTACAGATCTGTTAAGCTAACCCAAGGCACATAAGAAAATGATCCTCCATTGTAGTTTCTCCGCACAAACTCCATGGATATACTTGTAAGTATTTTCATAGAAGCTGAGGGTAATGATACTTCTAGTTTCTGTAGCAGTCTATAAAATTTATGGGGAAATTAAGACTAATGGAGATGATTCGGCACAAATGAGTCTTTTGCATATATCAGGCAAAGCTTATTTGAAAATTTATTCAGCCTGACTGTGTGTGTTCCAATCGAATATTAAAATACTGTTAAATTAATTTTGGTTTAGACACTACAGAAGGGAGACTGAAGATGACATTTCTAGGAAAATAGTGCTATTTTTTTTTCTTATTTTTCTTAAAGGAACCCAACAACAGCAATAAGAAACACAATTCTACATTCATGGAAATAATGTTTGATTTGCCCAAAAGTATTTGATCTTTACATTCACTTAAATCTACTAGTAATCACTTATACAATAACAATATACTGGAATTAAGTGTAGTTTTGTTTTCATCTTTAAAACTTTACATTTCTTCAACTCAAAAAAACAATTATTTGCAGTTTACATATACTAGAATATATATACTTAACTATAGTTTATATATACCACAATGAACTGTGTGTTAGTATGTGGATATCTAAAAATAACTTTATTACCTTATGGATTATAAATAAGTGATACTTAATATTATGTGGTCATAATTATCTGTGATGGCAAGTGTAGAAGTACCTCTTTTGGTGGTTCTTAGGTATTAATTCATATTTGCCTTTATCTCAGAGGTAAAGATGATAACTTTTATTTTTCAAAGAAATTTATAGTGTCTGTGCACATGCAGAATTTTGCATCATTAATTCTATTATTTCATTGTTTCCAACTTAATCACATTTGAATAACCAAAGGCAACATTCAAAATGTATTATCCCTATCACAGTTTCAGGTGACTATTAATGGTCTTGTGTGTGTTTATTAAAACATTACAAAAGTCTTCTGTAAACATATTAAGATATACTTATTTATTCTTACCAGTTAATTTTGTTGCAAGACCTCTTCATATGTATTTCTTAAAAATTGGCATTTGACATGACCACTCCAGAATTTTCTTGAATTTTCCTTATGTCAAAATTTCCCCTAATAATTAGAAGAAATCAGAGGATGGATGACAGGATAGGTCTCTTCTCATACTATTTCAATTTTCATCTATGATTTCTTTTTGTCTTTACTTTGTGAAGAAGAAAAATGATTGATAAAATGTTCGATCATTTCTCGACTTTTAAATTCCCCTACCTATTTGAACAATTTACCTGTGATTTCAGATGTAGAGACCATCTCCCATTTTTCATAATTCACTATTGTAAGGATCACAAGGAATAACAGATGGTATCATACTATCTCACATTCACACTGAATTACTTCTGTGATGGCTTTGTAAAGAAAGGCATTTCTAAGGAGGTGGTAATTGCACTCCATAGACGATTCTGGAATGGAAGGGGTCCCTAATTTCCATAAAAATAATCAAGATACACACATATTATTTCATATTTTGCAAGTCCAATGGCAGTGGCGGATTCTCTAACCCACTAAAATCATTAACTTACATACATTTCATTCTTATGTATAATCTTTCAGTTTTATAACCTAAGGAAACTCACCAGAGCTTTCAGGAAGATCTTCCCTCATAGGAGGAGAAACTGTCAGTGTGAGCAGCTGAAACTAAGCATAAAATATGGTCTCTAAGTTCAGTCATACTCAGAAAAATCTCAATGGCAAAGAAAAAATAAGTCCATTTCAACCCTTCTTTGGCCACTGGAGTTTAGACTATTAAGCATCTTTGGCGTAGGCAGTTTGTGGGTGCTGTGGGTATTTGGTCTTCTTGGTAAATATCTTGGGACCAAAGCTTGTAATTATATTGATTGTTTCTATAGAGTATTGTTCTGCCACCTTAAGTTAATATTTATCGTACATTGTTTCCTAGACATACAGCTTAATAGAAGCCATTGGATCAAATTATTGAAAAATATAATTTGTATGTTTAATTCAATACTATTAAAATATATGCATTCAATTCTATTAAATGAGTTGGCGGGTCATTGGTTTAATTTATAAGTGGTAATATTATACCTAATCAATATCCTCATTATGTAAAGAGGAGAGTCTATAACTTTTTAAGTTTTGGATTGATGTTAACCATAAGATTCTTTCAGTTCAACCTGAGGAACTGTTTTTCCCAGACTGCATATAGTCTCTTATCACTTGATATGGTTCTTAGAAGCATAGTGTTCTTACTGTGATGAATCTCATTTAGTTCTTGTCTTCTACTCATGATTTAACAATCTATTTATAATTTACACATTCCATGTTTTATAACTTTAACCCTTACTATTTGGTATTTAATATATTTTGTGATAATTGCTGTAAAATATATGAGGTGAGCATAGTATTCCATTCTAACACATTTGACCATTCATCAATCATGTTATATACAACCTAAATAATTCATCTCTACATAGAGTAGATGGATTTCTTAAAAATTAATTCTAATAACATGTTTGGTCACATTGCTTAACACATTCTT